AGTTGTTGCCTGAGCCAATAAAAATGCTTCCCCATAGGATTGGCTGAGACTGCCAAGGAGGCCGATCAGGGGCAGAGCCAGCACAAGTCAAACACAGCCCTGGCTAATCAGCATCTCCTCATAGAGATGAATAGAATCAATGAATCTCTATGAGGAAAGTGCAGAGTCTGCATGTAGAGGGAGGAGATACTGAATGTTTGGGTGCATTTTAGGCAGCCATGACCCAGGAAGGATCTCTTACAGCCAGTAAAGTTATCACTAGGAGTGGCCAGTGAAGTTATCATTAGGCTGTAATGTAAACACTGCATTTTCTCTCAAAAGACAGTGTTTACAGCAAAAAGCCTGAAGGTAATGATTCTACTCACCAGAACAAATTCAATAAGCTGTAGTTGTTCTGGTGACTATAGTGTCCCTTTAAGGGTAGTGGGAGTTGGCACCCAGACCACTCCAATGGGCAGAAATGGTCTGGGTGCCCGGAGTGTCCCTTTAAAAGACCAGCTCAAAAAACCCTTTAAAACCCTGCTCAAACCACATTGTAACAATGTAGCTTTAAATCCCTGTTTGAAGCTCTCACTTTAATCTCGCAAACAGAGCACCAGTCAATCTGGGGCCGATAATTCTGGAATCAAATGATACCTGGGCTTCACCAGTTACTAGCAGGGAAATAATCCCTGGTAAAATACCCAAATGACAGAATTATTCCATCATAGGTCCTTATGGCACGGACGACCATGATGGAATAATTCTGTCACTGGTCTTTAAGGGGTTACAATTGGCTTCTCTTTCCTGTTGTTTGGTTTCAGTGCCCCGTTTCATGCCATCCTGGTTTAATGCTCAGTACTTGGTTTCTAGGTTGGTCTCGGTGCCCTGTGTAATGCCAGGCTGGATTAATATTTGGTTCTCTGTCTTATTTATTGGTCTCGGTGCCCTGTGTAATGCCAGGCTGGATTAATAATTAGTTTTCTGTCTTGTGTGTTGGTCTCAGTGCCCCGTTTGATGCCAGGCTAGATTAATATTTGGTTCTCTATCTTGTTTGTTGGTCTCAGTGCCCTGTTTGATGTCAGGCTGGATTAATATTTGGTTCTTTGTTTTGTTTGTTGTTCTCAGTGCCCTGTGTAATGCCAGGCTGGATTAATAATTGGTTCTCTATCTTGTTTGTTGGTCTCAGTGCCCTGTTTGATGTCAGGCTGGATTAATATTTGGTTCTCTGTCTCTTGTGTTGGTCTCAGTTCCCTGTTTGATGCCAGGCTGGATTTATATTTGGTTCTCTGTCTTATTTATTGGTCTCGGTGCCCTGTGTAATGCCAGGCTGGATTAATATTTGGTTCTCTGTTTTGTGTGTTGGTCTCAGTGCCCCGTTTGATGCCAGGCTGGATTCATATTTGGTTCTCTGATGCCAGGCTGGATTAATATTTGATTCTCTGTCTTGTGTGTTGGTCTCAGTGCCCTGTGTAATGCCAGGCTGGATTAATATTTGGTTCTCTGATGCCAGGATAGATTAATATTTGGTTCTCTGTCTTCTTTGTTGGTCTCAGTGCCCAGTTTGATGCCAGGCTGGATTCATATTTGGTTCTCTGTCTCTTGTGTTGGTCTCAGTGCCCTGTTTGATGCCAGGCTGGATTAATATTTGGTTCTCTGTCTTGTTTGCTGGTCTCAGTGCCCTGTTTGGTTATGTGCTGGTATAATGCTTAGTACTCAGGCCTGTTAGGTCCCGTGCCCTGTGGAAAGCCCTTGCTAGTTTAATACTTGACTATTTTTCCTGTTGTCATGCCCTGTTGCATGTGTTTTTCCTTTAAACCTCAGTACTACCTGGTTTTGGTCACAATTAGTGCCCTATGTAGTGCCCGGCTGTTGTACTCACTGCTGTTTGGTCACCATGAACTGTCTCCAGCCAGGTTCAGTGTTCTGTTTGTTGGTCAGACTGCCCTGTTTGATGCCAGATTGGTGTAATGCATATTATTCTGCCCCATTACATACCAAGCTTGTAAGATGCTTGGTTTTCTGTCCTACTGGTTGGTCACAGTTCCTGCATCATGCCATGCTGGTTTAATGTATCAGTTGTGGAAATGCCCATTATTCATGTCTCAAGCTGTGTTTCTGTGGTCCATATGAAACTCACCTTGTGTTTCTTTGGTTTATGGCTGTCCAGGAAGAGAAGTTTGTACTTTGATTTTTATACCAGGTACTGTTACCCACTGTGCTCCGTACTAACCCCTTTTCCTTCCTCTTTATCAACTCTTGTCCATAATCTATCTACAGCTTCTGCAGTGAATATCGGTCTCCTACTGCCTGTCTCTTTCCTTGAAGCCCTATCTCTATCAGTGTCAGCCAGGCTGCCTATCCTTATGTGCTACTGCCTGCCCCCTCAGTCCATCCCCTGTTTGTCCCTCTCTCTGTGTTCAACATCTAGGCTCTCTCTGTCTTCTCCTGTCTTTTCTATGTACTTCCTCCTGGCATTCTGTCTTGACCACCTACTGGACCTTTATCTCCTTACACCCTATACCATTCCATAGGCCCCTCTCTGTCTCATCTCATCTGACTATTCTCTATTTCTTCCCACCAGGTTTCTTTACTTCCACCTGTCTCTCCCTGTCTCCTCACACCCAGCCCCCGCTCTGTTCTCTTTTGCCAGGTCTTCTCTGTCTATTTCTGCCTCGATCTTTCTTTCCCCCCGTCCTCCCCCACTTTTTGGTCTCCTCAGGCAGTCTTTATCTATTCCAGCTTCTTTCATGGCCTCCACTTCCATTTAATTCACCCCCCAGCCCTCTAGCATGTATATGTTGATTTGCATGAGTGGACTGACCAAAAGCAGTTAGGGGCACTGCCCACAGTTGTGCTGCTGTCAGCCAATTAGGTTTATAATTGAATCCCTCTAACCAACATTGGTAACTTTTTTCCCCATAAGTGAGAGATTTTAGAGTTACAGAGGTAAAGTGGGGAAAGAGGGGGGAGGCATAATTGGGGTTTTGGAGAGGAAGGAGGAACCTTTTTTTATATATGTATGTGTGTGTATATATATATATATATATATATATATATATATACCCATACTTGTTGATTGTGTTTTTTGTACATTTATGTGTTTTCTTGTATCACTACATTCTGAATTCCTTCAACCCTACCTTGTTCCTTGTCGATTCTACCTGTTCTCCGGTTATTATTTTTGGCCTTGCTATAGGGAACCATGTTAAGCATTGTCACTGAAAGGGCTATTAATAATGCATTATACTTTACTTTATTAATTTTGCAAAGGGGAGGTTATTTGGCTAAGGTTCTGCATGTTGTTGTCCATATCTAATCTTGGCATTACTTAGGGCCACCAGTTGGCAACTCGCAACAGATGAGTTGAAGACATGAACCATTCTAGACTTTGCAGGTTATAATTACTGTATTTCTCAGAATATAAATGCATCCATATATTTTAATTAATTAGAAATTCAGAAGGAAAATAAACATAAAACATTCTGTACTGTTATTATGGTAAAATCTCTCAAAGTAGTAATCTCCTTCCAAATGCTTCACCTAATCTCCATATAAATGCCTTCCATTTAATTTTCCTAATCCCTCACTTGCCTGCTAATCTCATTAATCTTTCTTCAATCTGGTACCTAATTTATGACAATTTCTAATTAACCTCCCCATTCTGGTAATTAGCTGTATCCTCCCTTAATCCTCTTAATCCCTACCTGTCCTGCTCCTTACCTCTTAATCCGTACCTGTCCTGCTCTTTACCTCTTAATCCCTACCTGTCCTGCTCCTTACCTCTTAATCCCTACCTGTCCTGCTCCTTTTCTCTTAATCCCTACCTACTCTGCTCCTTAACTCTTAATCCCTACCTGTCCTGCTCCTTAACTTTTAATCCCTACCTACTCTGCTCCTTAACTCTTAATCCCTACCTGCCCTGCTCATTGCCTCTTAATCCCTATCTATCCTGCTCCTTACCTCTTAATCCCTATCTATCCTGCTCCTTACCTCTTAATCCCTATCTATCCTGCTCCTTACCTCTTAATCCCTATCTACTCTGCTCCTTAACTCTTAATCCCTATCTATCCTGCTCCTTATCTCTTAATCCCTATCTATCCTGCTCCTTACCTCTTAATCCCTATCTACTCTGCTCCTTAACTCTTAATCCCTATCTATCCTGCTCCTTACCTCTTAATCCCTATCTACTCTGCTCCTTAACTCTTAATCCCTATCTATCCTGCTCCTTATCTCTTAATCATCCCTCATAACTTTTCTAATCCCTCAAACTGCTCCTAATATCACTAATCCCCAAGCAGTCACTTCCTCACATTTCTTATCCCTTTACACTTATTTTTTTCTCCTCGATTTTATCTCTTCAAAAACTTTCATCCCATCTCTTCCTTTTACCCCTGCATCCTTTACAGATTCTGATTACCCTTTTACCTTACCTTTTAAATAGTTTTCACCCCCTGCCTGACATTTACATAAAAAAAATCAGGGTACAAGGTGGCCATGTAGGAAGCCTTTGACGCTTTTTGTGCCTTTACTAGCACTTCATCAGAAACTAGAGAGGTTTACGCAAAAGCCTGTGAGGCCATGTAACTCTGCCCTCACATGCTATGCTGACATAGTCTATCTAATAGTGCTGTCTGTGCAGCAAAGCACAAAGGATTCAAGTGTTATCACAGGAGGGGACATCATTAATACAAAGTAAAGCACCCCCACCTGGCTTGCATCCCTCTGAAAGGCTGCCTCGCCATCCCCCTCTCAAATTGGGGTAAAAAAAACTGCATGCTATAGTCCAAAGAATAATATCACGTTATAATCTCTTGTGGGAGGTTGATAAGTCTATAGAAGAACTCTGAATTAATTGCTGCATTTAGGAGAGAATCCCCAGGGGATAGCCACCTTTGCTGCTAAGACTCTCATTAATATCAAATAAGGCAATAGATCTTTTGCTCTGTGATCATCTTACTGAAGTTTGTACCTGTAACAGAAGCTTCCCTTACTTTTGTATGGGAACTTCACTCCCATGTCCCCTCACACCATCCAAACAGAGCATGCATGCAAGTTTTGAGTTCAGCCTCCTTCCTAGAGACGAAATATCCTTTGCACTATAACTGGACTATGCAGCCCTCACCCCAGATACTGTGGCTTCCCACCAGTAGAGTTGTAAAACGGTTTCCATTTTTTACTTTGTATGGCTGGATTTTATTTTGGATGCATTCAGTGTCCATTGTGTGTGTGTGTGTACCTCTCCCTCCTCCTTTCTGTCTCATGGTTTAACCATGTTCTACAGGAGTCCTTCCAGACCAGGTCAAACTAGCTGCCCTGCCTCTCCTTCTTTACGGCTCTCCTAGAGTTCACAGCAGTTTTTCATTATCTCCCCTTGTCATATAAACATGGTGCTCTATTTATACCCCATGTTGTTTCCTTCAGTAAACCAGTTTTCTTGAACTCTTACTTGTCTGGTGTTTGGGGATTAGGATGGGGGAGTTTTTTGTCACTCCATGTAGAGACTAGTGTTTGGCTGTGAGACTCCACTAAAGAAGCTCAGACTGCAAGTCAAGTTGCCCTGAGCTACCAAGTTGATGCAGTAGCATCTAACGATCCTGGATGGCATGAGGAAGGGTGTGAAGAGCCAGGTCTTAATTCCAAGCCTAGAACTGACTCCCCTATTGTATTCTTTCTACAGGTCCAAAGCCTTAACGGCCAATCAAAATAGCAAGGATGAAAATGCAACTAGAGAGTTACCACAGAATTCAGAGAACCTCATAAGTAATGTTTCACACAGGTGGCAGAAAGAAGAAATTTTAAGAGATTTGCACCATGATTTTTATTGGTAGTTTTCAAATAAAACAAGGCTTACACAGCTCAATAAGCATCAAGTTATACAGTTGTGCTCAAACGTTTGCATACCCTTGCAGAAAGTGTTACATTGTGGCATTGATTTTGAAAATATGACTGATCATGCAAAAACATTTCTTTTATTGAAGGATAGTGATCATATGAAGCCACGTTTTATCACATAGTTGTTTGGCTCCTTTTAAAATCATAATGATAACAGAAATCACCATAATGGCCCTGATCAAAAGTTTACATACCCTTCAATGGCCTTGTTACACACACACAAGGTAACACACAGATTAAAATTGCAATTCAAGGTTAGTTTCCCACATCTGTGGCTTTTTAAATTTCAATTAGTGTCTTTGTATAAATAGTCAATGAGTTTATTAGCTCTCCGTGAATACACTGAGCCATAGGGAGCAGAAAAGAACTGTCAAAAGACCTGCGTAAAAAGGTAATGGAACTTTATAAAGATGGAAAAGGAGATAAAAAGATATCCAAAGCCTTGAAAGTGCCAGTCGGTACTGTTCAATCACTTGTTAAGAAGTGGAAAATTTGAGGATCTCTTGATACCAAGTCAAGGTCAGCTAGACCTAGAAAGATTTCAACTACAACTGCCAGAAGAATTATTCTGGATACAAAGAAAAACCCACAGGTAACCTTTAGGTGAAATACAGGCAGCTCTGGAAGAAGATGGTGGTGTTGTTTCAAGGAGCACAAGACAACGATACTTGAACAAAAATGAGCTACATGGTCGAGTTGCCAGAAAGAAGCCTTTATTACACCCATGCCACAAAAACGCCATGTTACAATATGCCCGACAACACCTTGACACACAGCTTCTGGCACATGTAATGTGAAGTGACGAGACCAGAATAGAGCTTTATGGTCTCAACCATAAGCGCTATGTTTGAAGAGGGGACAACAAGGCCTATAGTGAAAAGTATACCATCCCCACTGTGAAACATGGTAGTGGCTCAATTATATTTGGGTGATCTCTAAAGGCACGGGAAATCTTGTGAAAATTGATAGCAAGATGAATGCAGCATGTTATAAAATACTGGCAGATAGTTTCCATTTTTCTGCACGAAGGCTGCACATGGGACGCTCTTGGACTTTCCAGCATGACAATGACCCTAAGCACAAGGTCAAGTTGACCTTCCAGTGGTCACAGCAGAAAAAGGTGAAGGTTCTGGAGTGGCCATCACAGTCTCCTAACCTTAATATCATCAAGCCACTCCCATTCGTCCTGGCAAAAGGCCTCCAGGTCATGCAAAACGACCAAAGACTTTGCATGACCTGGAGGCATTTTGCCAGGACGAATGGGCAGTTATACCACCTGCAAGAATTAGGTGACTCATAGACAACTATTACAAAAGACTGCACTCTGCCATTGATGGTAAAGGGGGCATTGATTATAATTCCTATAAAAATAAAAGAAATGTGTTTTGCCTGCTCACTCATGTTTTTTTTCAAAAATGGTACATATATTACCAAGTCGCCAAGGGTATGCAATCCTTTGAGCACAACTGTATACACATTGACATGCATTAAGTTGAGCATTTTCATATGTATATGCATTACAGGTCTTGACACAGTAAAATAAATAGAGGGGGGACAGGAAGGGGGTTTGGAAAGATTGAGAATTGATAGCCAACAGGGGCTGCTATATCCACTTACTTGAAAAGTTGTCCCGTGAATTTTTAAACTGCAATGACTTTTGGTGGTGTCAGTGATATCCTGTGAAACCGTTCCTCATTTTTTGTCAGGAGGTCAACGTAACTTCATAATTGGTGTGATTGCAGTTTCCATTGTCTTGCTAAGTTATTATTAGCTGCTACTTACATATGAAGAATAAGAGATTTATTAGGCTTCAAGATATGAGGGGGATTCATGTTTAAAAGAAAAATTTTAGGCGGTTGTAAGAGATTGTGGCATGCATGATCAGCCGGTGTATTTCAGTTTGTTTGGAGTACTTTGCAATACCAGAAAGTGACACATTCCTTAGAACTTCTTTGCGTCTCCAGCAATTGGGGAATGAGTTTGGATATATGAGTCAGCCTGGTTTGGACTTGTTACCAATAGAATAGGAGCTTGTGATTTGTCTCCCAATGCGCCAGATATCTGAACACTTCCCTAAAGATTGTGATTGCTTTGGGCCATTGGGCATGAGAGAAAGTAGTCTTAAATTCAGATTCCAATTGGTTGACATAAATAGTTATATCAGAAGAGGGTGATCACCGCTTGACGTCCTGATGAAGCCTTGTGGCGAAACGCGTAGACTCGGTGACGTAGCCATGACGGCTACGAGGTGACACTAGTTAAAGTGGGCGGAGCTACTTCGGTACCCGGGAAATTCAAAGAGATATTGGACGCTCTGGCAACATAGATCTGGTGACTACAGGAGTAAAATCTATCCGTGGAGGTTCCCTGACATGCCGGTTGCACTGTATACTGAGCTTTTTTAAGAGAACCACAAGTGTGTGTGAGTAGCAGTTGGACACTGCATATGCTCACTACTTCTTTCTTGTAAGAGGCTAATTTTAATTTTATTTCATATTGCTGTTATTAGTATTTTATTTTTAATGTCACTTGTTTTTAAGTGCCGATAGGAGTGTTTTGTATCTAGTTTTGATATAATAAATGTACTTCATTTTACCTGTTATTACGGTACTTCACTATTATATGCTTTTTGTATTCTGTTTTATGTGAATCTGAGCTGAAGTAACCTCAGGATCCTCTTGAGATCCTTGAAGCCATATAGTGCTCCACCTATATAAGTATAAATTTTGTAACAATCTAAAACTGCCAATGAACTGGGATTGACCATTCAAGATTTAACATGTGTACAAACTCTGACAGATATACTTAATGAACAAAATCCTCAGAAACCTATGATGAACTTAAAACCAAAACGTTAGTTTACACCTAACCTAAACGAAGTCTCTCAGGTAGAACTATTTGTACAATTTACTACACAGGAATTGGAAAACCGTACCATTGACCTTGTACCTCCTCAGAATCTGTCTTGGGATGAATATAACGCCCCCAAGAACTTAAACAAGCAAACAATTTTATAATCAAACCGCAGACAAGGTGGGTAACATTGCCCTGTTACAACGTGAGAAGTACATTGACATCTGCATGACACATATTTTTGACAGACACTGCTACCAGGAATTAATATCTGACGCCACTACTACATTCTTAGAGGAATTAAAAACCCTATTATGCAGTGCACTTAATAACAAACGTATCAGTTCTCAATAATTCAAGTTTAATTTACCTCACTATCACCCCACCATCACCACTTTTTACGGTCTGCCCAAGGTCCACAGGAACATTAAGGACCCACCGGACAGACTATAGGATCCAGAAATAATAGCCTCACAGAATGCTCCAAGCAAATACTTAGAGAATATCTTACACCCACTTATATAGGAACATCCCTCACAATAAAGCCATTGAAGCATGTTAATACTTTTTGGACAATACACCTTATAGGAACCAACAAAAGGAGTTCATTGTGTCCTTTTTGGACTTTGTACGGACAAAAAACTTCTTCATCTTCAATGGTAAATTTTATCTTCAGTTGACTGGCATAGCAATGGGCACAGATTTTGCACCAAATTTTTGAACCTTTTCCTGGGATGGTGGGAGCAGTATGTCTTTGATTTTCACACTTTTACCACACATAACAGTATATTCTAAAGTGGTATGGATGTATAGATGACATACTGCTTCTATAGACAGGTCCAACTGCTGTCTTTGAACAATTTGTCTACCTAGTCAACCAAAACAACATCAATCTCAAGCTCATCCATGTTATACATGAGAGTGAGTTAATCTTTTTAGACCTAAACATTATGTTATGTTAAGAATTTAACTATATCCCCTTTATAGATCAATAGTTACAAAATATGGGCACTCTATTTCTATTCTCACTTTCACTGGATATCCATCTTTATTTTTTGTTTAATTTTATTTACTTAATTTTTTTAATTTCCCATTATGCTTTATAGTTATCCAGTTTATTGGGTTCCATGAACTATGTACATATGTTTTAGTTAATAAAACTATAGTGTGAGTGCACCTAAAAATAAGGAGATACCTATCAAGTAATAAAAAAATATTTAATAACACAATACAAGTGATGACTGATTAATTGATAACATCCATAAGGTGACAAAAGATAATGAACTGATAAGTAATCAGCAGTTCCAGGTAAATAACAATGTATATATAGAGATGTTACAAGTAGCAGTGTTCATGATACTAATGCCATAGAAGCAGCAGGACTCTGAACGCAACAAACTAATGTGTAACAATCTGTAACACTCAAATTTAAATGTGGTACCACAGAAAATAATAAAATACAGAGGAATACACTCAAAGATGTATTAGCACACTCCAAATTCTAATGCCGTAGAAAAAACAACTAAAACCGGAGTGAACTAATGGGAGGAGTCAAGCTAGAGCTTAGAAATATCATGGACAGGTTCAAAATATAAATAAATATAAAATAAGCATAGAAAGTGTGAGAACAGTAGTAAAATAAAGACTAAAAGAATAGTGGAAGCATGAAATGCAAAAAAAATAAAGCAACTTGCAGAACAGCGTTCAATTAATGGACATAATAATATATAATAATAAACAAGCTAGCACACAAAAGAGTTAACACAAAAAAGTCAGAGTCAATGATGTAAACGGTGGGGGCCCCTCTTAATAAATAGCTTGTGCTTGAAAAAGTATGCTTAGACAAAAATAATAAAGCTGGAAAAACAAACAAATAAACAAAACCCAACAAACAGTCGGTGTAAAATCAATGAGATGAGCCCAGCGAGCTCAACCCCTGGTACCTGTACCGAGCGGAGGTGGCATCCAATGGAACGTAGATGTAGGATGAAAACAGCTGATGTCTTTCTTCACAGGGGGAGCACAGCTGACTGGGACCACGTGGTACGCCGCGGCCGGTAACTTCAGAAAAGGCAGCGGCAAGCAAATCTGGAACAGCGTTGAGGTGCTGATAAAAAATCCTAGTGATACTGTGTGGAGATCAATCTACGCTTTTCGTCTCTTCAAGGAGACTTTATCAAGACTGAGTATGACCTCCACTGTTGTAGTTTAAATACCTCAGATAGGAGGTGGAACTAAAATCTGATAGGATAAACCAAATTAACCCTTGCAGGACTTGTTACTATAGAACAACAATCTTATTAACCCCTGCAGGGTTAGCAAATGTGAAATATCAAAGTCACATGAATAAAAAGTAAAAACCAACCATAGACATTTAAGCGATTAATGTAGATCAATTAGATTCAATAAATTGTGTAAATAGATTAATATACAGAGAACTTAATTAAATGTGTAAAATCAACAATTAAACTTAGAATATTGGATCAAACTATGTAAAATAAAAATCCTCAGATGTTGTATGTATGACAGTCTATTCCAAGGAAAAGTATAATAAAACATAAGATAAACGACAAAATATAACTACGAATAATTGTCAATTATCCTATATAAATAAAAGAAATATATATTTTTAGTACACAACACGTACAATATCTCAAGTATGTTATTCATTTATTTCTGTATTTATTTATACGGTTTAGATTTCTTCTTACTCAATAGTATTTGTACAGACATATTCCACCCTTAGTGTTTTCTCCTGTAAGATTGTGGATGGACCCGAGTTTATCAACCTACAATACTAATTATTATTAATTTTATCATTTTTGGCATATCGGCAATCTCAGAAACTCTAAGAAATATTTCCAGGTATAGAAAAAGAGGTCTCTATACAATGCCGTATATACCAATTTTGTACTCTATTACCTTGATAGTAATTGAATTGTGGGGTACTTCATTCATAAAAAGTAGGTCTATGTATACATCTTTACCTATTCAGGTTTATACCTCAATGACCCTAGAGGCTCCCATCCGATTGGGCAATCTCAGAGTTCTGACCAATAGAAAGGCCCATTCAGATATATCACTGCCTTTATTCTTTCTGAACACTATTACAGGAGGCACACACTGCCAATCATCCATACAGTCCACCTATAGGGGACTGGGTTCCACCAATGACGTTTCATCCATACATATTTAAAAATTATTTTTTGGAGGCTAGTTTCCCACTGAAGAGCCATCTAACCGGCGAAACGTGCGTCGGGGCTCCAACAATCCCTATGACCATATTTATGATTGGGTTATTTTACTTATAATTTACCGCTTATATTACTGCTAATAGTCAAAGGAGAAGACTCCTTTCATCAATCTATTTGTCTAGGTATTACAGCATTAGGTTGTGTCCGCTAACTAGTGATAGCTAGTTTTTGCTTTGATACAAGCTGAGGTGCCCTCAAAGGCACAACACAGAATGTTATGTTAGCAGGACTATCAACCTATTTTTCCAATTTTGTTCACTTTTTTGTTCTGTTAAACACATAGTTTTTACATCTCTTTTGCTTTTTTTTGTGTGTAACTGGCTGACAGTTTATTAATGAAAAATGCTGTTTAGTGAAGGATCCCCCTTCTTAGATAAGGTTAACTATGGGATACAATGTTGCTCTAAGGTTACTGAGTAGTGTTTTTTGATGGTGTATTCAGACACATACACTGCCGGACTTTGTGGGACTTCTTTCCCCTATATCCCTACCCAGTCAACACATAGGGTCATTTAGAATTATTGCAACTTATAGACAATAGATCACATATTTGTTGTAGTTTATTCTCAGATTACCCTGTATCCTTAGATCAAGATATCAATGTATATACTTCATTTGTCTTTATTTTCTTATTATCTTTTGTGACTATATGTCTGCTTCACATTTTGTTAGGAACCAGGAACCAGATAGAGGCAGAACATAGATGCAAAACACCTTTATTAAAACAATAGCAAAAAAAATAAATAAACCAAAATAAAAGTCCAGTAGGCAAGCAGGGGTCAGGCACCAAAGCAGGTAGTCAGACGAGCGGAGAGCAGCAGAGTCATGAACAAGACCAGAAGTCAGGAACACACAGGAAACGGAGTCTTCTGGGAAACAGGAAACCACGCAAAGGCAAGGAGGTACTGGGACTTGCTGCTTAAATAGGCTGCACTGATTAGCAACAGGGCGGGCTACGAACAATCAGGTGAGTAACCGTGGCAACATTAATGAAGGAGCTGATCGTTAAAATTCCCGACAAGGTAGACGTAAGCACATCTAAGCCCCTCCCCTCTCGGCAGTAGTGTGGTCATATGGGAGGGGTTTGCACTGTTCAGGGCGGACCATTATGGATGCCTTGCAGTGCTAGTTTGGAGGACCTTTCACCGGGGAGGATACAGACATGCCTATGCCTTCCCCCTTATGGATACAGGCGAGGCGCAACACGGATGGATGGGCGGCGTTATAGAAGGCGGCGGATATTTCCTGGATGCCTCACAGCGCCCGACAGGCGGACCTACACAACACTCTCCTGCTTGGGTTGGTACTAGCACACCCACGCCTTCCCTCTGAAGTGATTAACCGGTGGTAAGGTCGTCAGACTCCCCTGATTGGTTATGCAGCAGTTGGCTAATTGGAGATTTGCTATTTATACCACACACATGGAAAGTATGGTTATTATGCCCATGACGACAGTATAGTTAGACGCCAAAACGCGGGTCAGGCTTTTTACTTTTTCACATGTAGGGAGCACTGTGTGATTTTCTTTTATTATTTTTGTGACTATTGAGATTGAGGGAATTCTGGTGCAGGTAGGTACTAGCCTTGTGCAGTGCCGAGGTAAATAAGGACATATGGAGCTGCCGACCTATTATAGCCTCATTTTTGTCTCTTAGGAGCTGGTGATTTTTGTTATTTGGGGTGGGCATCATGAGGAACTCATGACCTCTATTCTCTAGGTATTAAGTGTAAGGGGCAGGTAGAGTCCGGTTTTAGGACCTTCGGTTTACCCACTTATTCTTTGAAGACATTTTCCTAGGCAGGGTTCTTTTTCCCATGCATAATTTTAGGAGTTATACCCGCTACCATTGATCAAGTATACATGATATCCCCTAACACTCCCTTTTTGGTCTGTCTACCTGCCAGCACATTTGTTTACTGTTAATTTTAGTGTACAGCCTTACCTGGTGCTGTTGCTTATGAGATAGTTTTCATTCTTTTTTTTTTTTTTTTAATTTCTTTATTTTTTCAGCTTGACAAGAGTAGCACTATAAAATTTTCAACATGGCTTGTGCAAAAGCCCATTGATTCGTAATACAGATAACCACAGTAAAACATATAAGAAGAAAAGACAATCGTAAGTATTACAACTTAGAAGTTAGTTTTTCCAGCTACGCGTCAAGGGTTTTTTTTTTGTTTTTTTTAAATAGGTGACATAGGTATTGTGTGATCGTCGTTTCCTAGGTATTGCGTTGTCGTGTAACACGGTAGGGGTGTATAGAAGTATAGCTTTGTGGGATTTGTCATTCTTTGGGTAACCCCGTTACTCTGTGTCCTGGTTTAATAGGGCGAGTTCTGGGCACATCAGTGACATTTGCTTCCAGTGGGTAGCATGTCCTATGTCTAACTCTAACGGTAGTTGACATATGTCCTTCCGTGTCGGTTAGCGCACAATATTTTAAGGTAGTGGTTTTTATCGGGAGGGAACTCTGTCTCTCGAACCTTGTGGTGTAACCCTGGGCCTGCCAGGAGATGACTTGTTCGCTAGGGAGTAAGGTTCGGTTTTCAGGCTCCCCCGCGATATTGTGAGTGAAAGAGAGTGAAAGTCTAGAAAGAAGAAAGAGAAGAATATGGGGGGGGGGGGAGCAGGGG